GCCGAGAAGAGGAAGAGGGCAAGGCTGCGGTGCAGGAGTAGGCCAAACGTCGCTTTTGGAAGCCCATAAGAAGAGAAGAGGCAGGCCTGCGATTAGAAGAGAAGAGGCAGGCCTGCTGCCGAGGGGTTTGAAGACTTGGCCAACTGCTTCACCCTGCGGTGTCCCAGGCGCCTCCCCGCCTAGGCTTTGGCTATAGGCCGGGGTCGGCGGATATATATATATATATACCAGATTCTTCTGGTCCAGCTCTTGGTGTTAGGTGCAAAGCTTTTGACGGCACTTCTTGCTCCTGCAAGGTGCATACACACCTCTTTCCGACCAGCCAAGAGCTCAACCGGGCGAGGGAAGTTGACTTGGTACCTGGGCGTCTTGACTTCGGCGACTATTTTTTTTCGAAGCTCCCTTGGGGGGCATCCACCAGTCATCACATCAATGTCCAGGCCATGGAGATCGCCTCATGCAGTACGGCATCGATGCCATGCTGCCGCACATCTGGATGTGCGTCGTTTTGCGCGGAAGGGGGTTGAACGATCTTGGATAAGAGTGCAGATGTTCTGGTGAAACTGCCAAAACTGCTTTGGAAACCGGATTTCGTAAGATTTAGCAGAGAGTGGCTTTGAGATTGTCCAGATATGCTGAAAGGCTCAAGACGGGCCTATATATGTATGGCAATTGGATTAGCCTGCTGCCACCAAGGCATCTGAGGGCCTGAACTTCTACATATCAAATGACAACCTGATGCGGGAAGTATTTTGTTCGAAAGGTGTGCAAATTATAACTGGACATTGTTGGATGTCTTATATAATTTCTCGCAAACGTGGAGCAGCCCCAGCCACACCAAAGATAGTCCAAACCTCCCTGACTATTTGACTACATATGAACTGGTTTGGAATTGGTGGAACTTGCAATGACCACCTCATACCACCACGTTCAGATACATGCCGCGACTTTGCATCAAAGCTGATACACTATGTGCAAAGGTTTCAACTTGTAGGATAGGGTATCACACGGCCGCCGGCCGCCCTGGTCTGGAGTCCAGAACACCTTGTCAGTGGGATATTGCTCATTAGAGATCGGGTTGAGGATTTTGTCCTTCGTGGAAGGTCGCACCCTAGGCCCTAGCTTTTGGTTCTCATGCATGGCCCTCAGTGCTTTGGGAATTGGCTTGCATGAAGTGTCTCTAAGGACATACCACTACCTCGTCTCTGAATACTTGGCATCCAGCCGTCGGGCCACTTAGAACACCACGCGGCACAAAAGCATGCCATGATCTGCTTTCTATGGACAAATATGACCAATCATCCCCAGAACTGATTTGGAAGTCCCCACGTAGCAGCGGTTCTATCACATTTGGCTGCGTTTTTAAATGGGGAGACCCCCAACTGGCCCCCAACTAGTGGGTTTTGGATGGCTTTGGGTTAATGATTTTCCTTCTTCCAGGGGGTCGTTGCCTGGGAGGTCTCCCTGCTGAACCCTTGGGCCACTTCCTCCCCAGGCGATCGTCCTGAGGAGTTCTATGCCCTGCAGCGGGCCAAGGGTGACACGACCTCCACGCGTCGCGGCATCCGTGGGTCTCCCCGATGGTTCGGCCGAAAGCGGATGATGGTTTGAAGTAATTCAGACTGAGACTACCTGCATTGAACCTGAGCTCAGGTAGCAATGCTTCGAAATTGGTGTGTTCGGTCAGCCGGACCTTTGACACTGACCGTTTGAGAACAGGGATTGCTTTGTGGTGAGTCGTTGAGTCATTGGGTGGGCTGTCATGGGGGGAAACAGAATCACACATGTATATATATTATATAGTATTATACAATATTATACATATATATATGCATAATTATATGTATTATACATACATTGTTTATATATGATATATGATATATGTATAAGTTCTATTAAGTGTTTGCATTTTTTAAACATGATCTCCTGGCTGACCTCAGGTCCACCAGCGAACAGGCTGATCGAGTATGGCAGGGATTGTTTGTGGGGACACTCAGTTGACAACAGTTGGCCAAGAGCTTATGAAGAAGTCCTAGGAAGATGCCCTAATTGCCTCCAGTTTCACGACAGCGTCAACATCCTGGGTTGCAGATGAAGCTTGAGGTCTTACTGCAACTGATCTTAGCTGATCTCGATTTTTTTCACATATGGCTGCCCAGAAGAATGGTGCCATTCTCCGGTCCAGACGGGGCACCGAAACGGACTGGGCCATACGAAACCCGGCGCACTGATCCTAGGTGAACTGCACTCCGATGAGTGAGCCCTGTGTGGTGTCCCAGATACCGCAGCCCGGTCCGGACCGAGTTCGTTTGAGCCTGGAGAAGAAGACTTGAAGGTAAAGAGGGGAGAAGAGCGGAAGAGATATATAATAGGATATGCATACTGAATACTGTTTTTGGATGCTTTTTAGTAGACACAGGAAGAGCGGTACGATAATTCTTCTGACAAAGTTGTTAAAAGTGCTCCATATCTAGGATTTCAGGAGCTTACCCAAGTTTTGGAAGCTGGGTTGCTACTTTGTTAACTCACTCTTTTTTGATATTGGGAAATCCACCGTGCATGAGCAGGTGCTGAACAGGTGCCTGATGGACCGTTTGAGGACCGTTTCGATGAGCTTGACTGTTGTTCGTGGCACGTGACCAAAACCAGTGGAGACCCGAACATGTTTCTGGTACACACTGACATTTTGGTATCCGTAGATATTTGGGATCATCATGATCATCACCGGCCATCCATCTCAGAGGTCCAAACTCATCCCGACTCAGCCCATTTCAACCAGATGATCTACAGGTTTGCCAGCTGATTTCACCTAGGCCGTGGTGTGCTGACCACGCCGGGGTGTCCTGGGATTGCGCGTAACTTCGCCAAAACGAGTGGGTGGTGATGGGTGGTGCAAGATTTGCGGGGAGGTGCTGCTGAATTGAAATGTGCGGTCTTTGCCATCAGTTGAATTGAAACCTGATGAGGCCTGAAAACTGAAAAACGTGATTCGTCAGATGCAAGGGATGATGCCCGCAGAACGCAATCACAACTACCGCTTCACACGTGCTAAGAACCCTTCAACGTCTTGGATAGATAGAGTGAGGGCTGCTGGAGGGTACTACTGAATGGTTGTCCTTGTTTAACCGGTATTACTGTACCTATGACATCCTCTTGCTTCTGATTTCAGACAGTCCAACATAGCCTTTGTTATGCCGGAGTTCACGGCCTTCCACTGATGTTCGTTTCGATGAACCAAGTCCCACGGTCCAACGGTCCCGAGAAACTGCTCTGGTGGGAGCACTGACTCGAACGAAGCGGCTCGAGGCTGTCAGCCTTGGGCTTGCAGAAGGAGCTTGCACGACGCGACCTCGATGCCATCCGTCGCTGGCGCCCACGTGGGCAAGAAGGTCTGAAGTGTTTGAGTAGCATGGTTTCAGTTGCATGGCCGACCGACTGCAACATAATAATGGACTCGTTCACAAGAGATATTGTATGATATTGTTCATGAGTATCGTGAGTCACGAGTCGTCCGAATAATACTGTTGGATAGGTTCTGTGAAATGTTACTATTATAATCTATATATACTATTTGTTACAGAGATTGTATGCCGCGGAGTTGGCTTGAGCCTGAATCGTGAGAATCGCTGATTGGTCCAGGTACTGTGGACAGGATGCAGTGATGTTCAATGAGAAGATGATGAGACTAGCAAGGCCGGTGTTTCGATGGTAACCCTACATGGTCGGAATTGCAGTTGTGTTCATATTTTTGGGACACTTGGCAATAACACAAGATGATCGATGGCAATTCAGTACTTACACAGATCGGCTGAGCTTTGTTTGGCACCTGCCCGAGATTGTTTCTTGTTTGCATTTGTTGGTAGAGGGGGGGTAATTAGGCTGCTAGTTGATGGCACCAAGCACAAGTCTTGACATGTCTTGACATTTGCTGCACTAGAGAACAGAGAGCACATGACACTCATGACACTATTTGAGCTGCTGCGTTAGGATGAATTTCAGTCATCGCACACAAGCCATACGGAAAGTCAGCCGCAGAACAGTGAATTAATGGGCCATCGCTGCTCATAGGAACCAGAGGTCCTTCAGAAGTGTTTGTTGTTTGGGGGAGTGCATTTTGGTCTTCAAGAGCCTAGAGGTACTCCAAGGATGTTGAATTGAATGATGGTTCTTTTCTAGGGGATGTATATAGGTCGAGCGGCTCCCTTGCCCGTTGCCGCATAGAACATCCATTGATGTCAACAAAGCTCGGTGTTTTGTTCACCATGGCCATGTCGAGTTTTGCCCAGGTTGCGCTATGTCATCACTAGTTGGACGCCCAGCTATTGAATCCACTTTTTGTACACGAGCCTACAGCACAGAGCGCTAGCCAGGCCTCGGAAAGAACATCAGCTACCAACATCATGAACTTCTCTACTTGTATTGGGACTCCCACAAATGCCACCACAAAATGGGTTGAGGAAATTGAATTAAAGGGTTCATGGCTCATGGCGATCCAACTCAGAATGGAATGGGAACATGACCTTCTACAGGTGGGGCCAGGCACATTCCATTTTGGTGGGTCGTAGTGCAATGCCTGTGTTTGGTTCATTTTGGAGACCCGTGCGATCACTAAGTCATCATCAGTGGTGATGTAGAGATGATTGCTGCGTTGTGGCCGGAGACCTCTGTAGTGGCGTGTCTACAGTTTGTTGAGAAAGGTTGACAACAAAAGTTCTTCTAATGTCTAATTCACATGGCTGAGGGTCTCGGAGCTCATGACCTGCATGAGAGATTCCTTTGACCAACAAGACGGGCCCGGGAGGATTCCCTGCTAAGTGCCGGTGCTCGGAGCTCTTGAAAAATGGAGGAGAACTCCATCGAAGGTGTTTTGGGTGTTCCATCCAGGGCTTCCAGCCAAACGATCGTTTTGGACCGGAATGTGCAATATGTTTGTTCATGTTTGTTCATTCTTGTTCCACATATGGTCAAAATTCATCAACCTCAGATTCGTTGCTTACATTGTTGTTCAGTGACTTGGTTACATCATGGAACTCCCAAAAGCCCCTCAACTCTCCTCTCTTTGTTCATGCAATCGATAGACTATGGGAATCAAAATAAATGATAAACTGGTTGTGCTTCTGTGTTTTTTCATGGTTTTGCATATTCTATTTGCTCCAGGATGGTTGCATAGGTCATGCAACCGACGGCCAGGGAAGCACAGAGGTCATGTGATTGGTTTATGATTTTTTTTGCTGCCCCATTGACGATCCAATCTCCTCGAATCCTGTCTTCGTGGCGGCGCTCACGCTTGGCGGGTGGCAACGAGGCCATGATCCATTTGATTTGGAGCAGCAATCCTTCTGCCTGGAGCCGTTGCCTCAGCAGGGTACTCTCTAATATTCTAGTGGCGAAACGCAGGTTTTAACACCGAAGAAGGGCCCACAGTGTCGCACTTATATAAGGTTGTTTATTCGTCATTCAAAAACACCCTCCTGCCTCAGCTTATCATGAAGGCTTGGAAGGGGAAAAAACGTATCATGAGCTTATCCTGTCCGCCAAACCCTCGTGAATTTGCTCCAAAACCCCCAAATGGCACACCTGTGAGCTGGGTCTTCACTCTCCAGACGCACTCGGCGTACGCGTGGGCGTACTCGTCTGGGACCCATTGATCCAAGGCCTCCACCCGAGATGCCGCGCTACAAGAGCGCCCTAGTGCCTCGGCCAAGAACGAGTCGGGAGAGTTCGGGCTCGAGGGATCGAAGAAGTGGGTCTCCATCGCAGTTGACGTCAAAGCCTTTGGCTGCTCAACTCAAGTCAAGCACACAATGTCCGGTAGAACTGGTCAACTTCTATGTCCCTTAGTTGATCCTTTTTGAGCAACTGTCTCAACTCGAATCCGTCCCATCCATGCACATATCCATGCGGCCTACCATACTTTGAAGGCTCACCGACGCTCACCGACGACCACGGCAGGCCTTAGACGCCTTGCTGGAGGGTCACTGGATGCAGGTCATGGAGGCCTTGCAGCGGTGTCACAAGTCGGGCAGCCCGGTGAACGCAGCGGGCACCGGTGCGGACCGGGAGGAGAGGAAGTTGGGGAGGAATATGGACGCTGCGTTAAGAAGAGATGTGGTGATACAACTCACAAAAACGTGGCCATACCTACATGGTTTCAGTATGTTTCAGTACATGGAGCATATTGGACCATCCAGAAACAAGAACAGGTGTTGACATGTTCCATCTTCAAATGCACACGAAGACCGTGAGGCCGAAGACCTTGCGCCCGGGCTCTCAGATGGGTCCAGGCCAGCGGGAGCTCATCCAGCAGAATCCAGGAACTTTCCAGAAGTCCGTTTGAAGGCGATACATGTTTGTCAATTTGATTGAGTCTCAGACATTTCACCCGATTTCACCCGGAAAACATGCCACCCGTGGCATGGGCATGACTTCGGACAGATTTGGGGTCCCCACCTTAATCCTTCCCAAACTGGATCATTTCGCCAACATTATTCCCGCTTCTCTCAAATCTAGGTGGCGGAGCGTGAGTGTGAGTCATCAAACCGGGTGATGTAGACTCTTGATCAATAGACCTCCCGCATTCGCCCGCATTTAGTCAATGTAAAGCCATGTAAAACCTCTTCATAGGGGTGTTTTTGTGTTTTTTTATTAACCTAACCTAGAGCTTACAAATGATATAGTAAGTAGAGCACCTGTTCGTTCCCGCTATGGTGCGGTGAAAACTCGCCGCGGCTGGGCGGTGTGCGGGGGAAAACTGGCCTCGTCCCAGGAGGCGCCTATGAGTTGGTGAGCGACTCGGCCGCGCGCTGAGATTCGTCAGATGAGAGGACTGAGAGGACAAGACAATGGCGATCAATGGTGTATAGTGGTATGTTGTGATATGTGTGGAATTTATTGTTGGTTGGCTGGTTTACATATGTTGCATTGTCATGTTTGGGGCCAGTCTCAGGCCTCAGGGGGCTGACTTCTGACTTTGTGTGTTTATGTGTTTGTGTGAGTGTGCGTTGCTGTTTTTTCCTGTGTGTGTAGTTTTGTGTCTTGTAACTGCTGCAATATGCTGCAATGATTCTAATGATGCCATTTTCTTTGTGCACATGTCCTAGTGTTTGTTGTTGTATGTGTTTGTTGGCTGAGTGTTTGTTATTGTTAGAACGCATGTAGTCGATTGTAGATCACGCATCGCCAAAATTTGCGTTTGGTTGCTTGCCAACTCCAAAACTAAAAGAGAGCTCTGACAAAGAGCACCAGGATGTTTTTCAACCAGCCCAGTAGCCTTTGGCCATTTGGCCAAGGTATTTGTTTGTTGTTGCTAATCGCTGACAGCTTCAGTTTAATCATGTTTGTCAACGCTACGCCATACCCCCACCTGGAAGAGCAAAATCTATACAGTAGTCAAAGTGATCTATTTTGCCAACGGTGAGGTATATAGAAGATTGTGACATCTAACGCAACCGCACATATTCCATGCATATGGGGAATTGCAATGAATTGCCAGAATTCACACAATCATGGTCTCTTGACATTTGCTTGCTTACTCATTTGCTCCCTGCTAAATAGCCAAGAGTCGAATGTTTTCGTGACCAGCCATACTAACCGCGCTCTTTGGATGTGTTTTGGATCTTTCTGCCACCAAACCCTTGGTTTCCCAGTCACTTAATCACTTGGCACAACACCGGACCAGCAAAACGAGCCCGTCTTTGTGAATCTAATTCACGATGTAGTAGCACTGTCATGTTTTTTTCCATATGAGCTGAGTTTTTTTTTGAGATGAAAGGGTTTATATAAGCATTGACATCATTGGTGGTTGATTAAAGGATGGCGCAGGCATTCTGCTTGGGGGCGTAGACGCCCCGTAGGCATTTTGGCACAATGATTTGTCGTAGGCACTTGTCGTAGGCAGCATTTTCAATCAGGGTTTTCATGCAGACACTTTGCAGATATGAATTGTCTGTTTAGATTTCCTGTTGCTCTTGGCAACTACTTCACTTTTTCAATCCACTTTCAGAGACTAGTGACCTCAAACTCCTGAGATTTGTAGACCAATGGCCAAGCCAAGCCGCCCACCTTCATGTGGCGTGCGGGGATGTTGTGGCTCCTTGTACCGTAGGCACAGCGTAGGTTCTCCGTAAGAATCCCGTAGGCGAAAATGCTTCTTGTGACCACTGGCCCATGTGTTCTCAATTTGTACTTCTCAAGTAGATTTGAGGGAATTCTTTCCGTCCACAAGGTGGTAGCAGCAGCAGTGGTAGTTCAAATTCATCTTCAAGCTCCTCCTCATCCGAACGCTGAAAAGTTTGCTATCATGCTGTCTGCTTGTCTGCTTGCCCAAATCCCAAAAGTTCAAAACCAACTCCCCAATGGTAGCGTAGGTGAAACACACCACGTTGAAACGAAACCTCACGTTCGTAGGTTTCTCCGTAGGTAAAGGTAAGGTATCTGTGCGTCGTAGGCCCACACTGTGGAAACGTAGGCGAACCGTAGACTTTGCCGTAGGCATCCTTCAATGATAATAGCTTTAGTATTTAAAAAAAAAACCTGCTCATATGATTTCCCATTGTATAAATTGTGTTTATTTGGTTTGCAAGGACCGCCCACCATCCCGGAGCCGGGGAACGCCGCGACTTCGTCGCTCGCGAGCCGTGCAGATTCGAGCTTTGCAGCCCGC